ATTAATGGCATCCAAGCCTCCAACTCAAATAACGCAAGCCCAATCTTCTTCCAAAAAGGGGTCGAGTTAAAGCTCAAATTTTTGGGAGCTTTGCCGAGACTGTGTCCTTTATGGTCTCAAAAGCAGGAAAGTACTGGCTAAAATCAAAGGAAGCAACAGCGCCACCGGCAGCGACAACTCCACCTCCTTCGTCGCTAGTCTAGCATCGAGTGGGTATGCTTCTGATGCGTATTCTGATCGGGTTTGATGAATTCCAGTCCCAGTGAATCAGGCTTATTTTATTGCCTTTTCGTTGTGTAAAATACCAGTAGTAGATGAAGAAAGGCGAAGTCGCTGACGATGATGGCGGGCGGTGTAGAGATTCTAGCAAGGCTTCCGGCGAAGATAAGAAAGTCGGCAAGTGTGAAATCGACGTTTGGGCACTTTGAGGAGGATATTGTGAAGTCAAAACCCATGCTTGCCACTGTGAGGGAAATGGGAGGTGCTAAACTCACCGAAGCGGACGAACAAGGCTGATGATTTTTAATTACAGTTACAGGAGTGGTGGGATTATAGGTGTGGTGTATTAATTCTTCAAATCTATGGACGAATTTGGTTGCTGTGATTTAGGGTTCTTGGTGAGGGTTGGGTGATTTGGGATTTTCTTATTAGTTTTAAGAATTTTCCCTTATTTACCAAAGTATGAAGGAAGGAATGTGGGAAGGAGGACCATGGGAGTTATGGTTTTGGCGGCGAGGGAGGAGAAAAGGGGGGAGAATTTTTTTTGTAATTTTTAATATTTTTATAAATTTTGGACTCATTTACATTTTTTAAAACATGTAGGAGTAAGATTGCAATTTATTCTTTATTTTTCTTTTCTTTTTTGTTTTATTTATATAGGAGGGTATAATTGTCATTTTATGTTAAAATTTGGTGAAAATGACGTTTTGCACAAGAAAATGCAAAGGTTGGGACGTTCTGCACCAAAAATCAAATGTATGGACGTTTTCCACAATGACTCTCATAGGTAGGGACGTTTTGTACCAATTACCCTTATTTAAATTTAGTCTCAGATTATTTCAAGTATTCCTTTGCTGAATGATACTAGTATCAACTAGAAATGCAACTAATATTTCTAAGGGTTAAATTTATTAAATTTCATTGATGGGGTTGGTGAGCACTTCTAAAATAAATGGAGTAAGCCATTGAAAAAGAAAAAGAAAAAAAAAAGCTTGGATAAGGTGAGCGATAGGAGTTGGAGCATTTAGATTTGATAAGAACGTAATGCGACTTTATGCCTAATAACTTTATTGTTGAAATTAGGTAGTGTGCATCCTTTTAAGCTTTGAGAGTGACTTGGGAAACAAATTCCAAGGTCCAACATCAGATTTGCTATAGACATCACATATTGGAGCTTTCAGTCAAGCATAATTCATTGAATTAAGAAAATAAACATTGACATATTGGGGGTCAATTTCTTAATTCTGAAAAGTTGAGGGATAATTCTTTGAACTTTTGGTCCTTGTGGCATTATTTTATCAACCGTGCTATATGTACAGTCTTAGTGACAGAATTTTTTTTTTTTTTTTACAGAACACACGGCGGCATTTGATTCGAAGTTGCACAAGAAGAAAAAAACAAACAAACCATACGGCAGCACCTGTAAAAGATTTGTAAACAATTCCCTTGTACAAGAGGAATTGTTCTTATTTTTTGACATTCCTAATTGCTAGAAAACGTTTCTTGTACATAACTATTTATATAATGTTTTACATAATGATAAAGTGTTAAAATATAAGTGAAAGATTTTGATCCAATTAAATTTCGTCACATGTTGGTAAACAATTATGTAACTATAACACAACCGTTGATTGCTTTTGTTGTAGAGAATGGCAAGGGTAGAAAGGTGGGTAGGGTGCGTATGGGTAGGTTAGCTTCATGAATTATTTGTTTTTGGTAAAGCAAATGAAAGAATAATTATTCATATTTAAATTTTATATGATGTTTAAGTAGACTATAAGTCATAACTTTAGGCATCAATCTGCCCATTAAATATTTTTATATGTTCTTCATTTTCTACCTATTTTTTCACAATTCGTCGGTGATACAAAGTTTGGATATTCAACTGCGGAGATAATTTTTTCTCAAAATTTCATTCTCCTCATTTTAAGATAGAAATTAGTCAAAAAATACAAGTCACGCGCTATAAGAATAGTCATAAATTTGAACTCAAATTTTATGGGTACAAGTCTCAACACTCGACTTTTTAGGACGGATTAATACGTTAAAATGCACATAATTAATACATTAAAATGGACATAATAATTTTAATAAATTAAAAATGTAAAATTTTAAAAGTTGGCAAAGGTTGATGATCTATATTTTTCCCATGCTATTTCTCAACTGCTCTATTCAAATAGCTCGCGCAAAGCATGCCTCTCCATTAAAATATATAAAAAGATTGGCCCATTTTGTAGGGAGTCAACCAATCTAAAGTCAACTAAAACAAGCACACATGACCTTGAAAACCTCAATTATTAAAGAGTGG